GGTGACATTATTTACATGAACGCTCCTACAAGAACCCTGCAGATGTTGGATGCTGTCTATCATGGTGCACTAAGATTCATAACTGGCTGTGATTATCGTACCCACCACTGCACCCTGTATTCACTGGTTAACTGGACATCATTAACTTCACGCAGACTCTCTCACTGGTACATTTTCATCTTTAAATCACTTCTTGGTCTGCTGCCTTCATACATCTCCTCCTACATGTCTCTGCGTGAGTGCAGCTACGGAGTGCGCTCTCAGGACATTATTACCTGCAGTGTTCCCTCAGTGAGGACTGAACTAGGCAAAAGGGCCTTCTCCTACTCCGCTCCTGTTTCCTGGAATATCTTACAAAAAGATTTGAAGCTCTCGACCTTGACCTCTCTAAGTGGCTTTAAGAATCTGTTGGACTCCTGGCAGGGTCCAATGCTGACATGTTCCTGTTTTTAGTTTTATACATTTGTCTTGGAATCTAGCTGTTTTTTTGGTGTTGTTACCTTTTTCCTTTTAGCCATCCTATTTGTTAAAAAAAAAAAAAAAAAACTGTAGTATGAGTTTTTATAATTGCTTATTGTTGTTGCTGTTGTCCATTGTTGTCATCTTTCTTTGTTGAAATCAGGTCTCTCTTGTAAATGAGTCCTCGAGGCTCAATGGGATTTACCTGTATAAATAAAGGTTGATTGATTATTAGAATTTGCTTTGGGTTTGTTTCAGATGTAATGGACATGGGGATGAAAAACAAAGAAGATAAAGCAGAAAAGTGAGAGAATGGTTAAAAGGTAAAGAAGGAGATAGGAGTAGGAGAGAGAGAGGGATAAAGAGAACACAAATCAACATCATTGAAGTCTGCCTCTAGACCTGCGGAAAGAAAAAACAAGACAAAACCGAGAAACCACAACAACAAGCAACATATATAATGATACTTATGTAGTGAACCTGATCTGACCTCAAATCTCATCAGATGAACAGTGACTGTTATTTCATTGATCTGCATCCAGAAATACAGTTTGAGCCATCTGGTGACTTTCTTTCTTGAATTAATCAAGTAGAAAAGACAATTCTCTATGATCATTACTATTTTACAAATGTTTGATAATCAAATTGTGTTAGTTTACTCAATGTTTACAGGTTGAAGAAAACTACTCATTTTTATTTTACATAAACAGTAAGTAATGATTTTTATTCCTCATTCAAAGAAGAAATCAGGTTAATATGCATTTCTTGATTTTTCTGTCTGCAATGAGCGAGTTTTGTAAGTATGTTAAAGGTCGGTTCTCGGTCAACTAAAATGTTTACTGAGAAAAAATGTCATGTTTAACTTTTTCAGAAGATAATAAGAGGGAGACTCCACGAAGTCTGGTTTTCTGCAATAATCTTTCTGTCTGTTGTTGAACAATCTCATTCTCTGACCTCGAATTTGATAACATCTTACATCACAAACCACACCTCTATTCTGGTCCATCGACCAATCAAAAAGCTCTCAAATGACCCGGAAGTCGACCCATTTAAAATGTGGCAACTTCCCAGTTCATGGAGTTGCTGGAGTTGCTGAAGTTGCTGCAGTTGCTGCGCTCAGGAATGAGTTCAACTAGAGAGTGCACAGAGTCTGAAGTCTGAAGCCAGACGCTGAAGATTAATGGAGCTAAAAAGAGTCTGATGCTGCAGAGCTCTGAGAGTTCCACACAGAGTGCTGAAGAGTGATGGAGTTAGAGTTCTTGGATGCAAACGCGTTCAGGATGATCCAGAGACGTTTTGGGATTATAACTTCTGTTTGAACAACCTCGTACGACTCTCGAAGGATTTCAGCTGCTCTCAACGGAGACGCTGAAAGAGTCTGAAGGATTCTATACCGAGCTGATTTATCATCAACCAGGTAACGATTCTACTTCGACCAAGCGTACCGTCGCAAGCTGAGATCTGAAGGAGCGTGCACGTTTCTGGTCAAACAGATTAATTCCCTCACACATCTCTCTGCAAGATAAATCTCCATTTCCATCTTAAACTCTGCTTTCTCTTAAAATCAGTACAGATATTTTAGAAATATCTGAAGCAAAATCCTCAATCACCGCCGTGTGATTGAAGTCTATTATCTGTGAAACTTGTCTGTTATTATTTTCATATTTTGCCAAATTAATGTAAATGTTTGATGTTAAACTTTGATTCTGAAAATAAATGACCGCATTCATTTTGATGGGTCAAAGATAAATAACGTCTCTCGTTACATTTCTGTTAAAATTCAATGCACGACATTTACACAGTCAGAAAGATGAGGAACTCGTGAAAAGTATGAATATATATCCCTATATGACATACTACACTTATATCATCATTAGAAAGTATTTTATACAGTACATGGTAATACAAGATGTATTTAGTGGTGTCCACAACCCAACTGAGTGTGTATCTGATAAACACCTGAATCTAAACACCTGTGTGAGCATGCTTGTCA